TGGATTATGGGTCCAATGGCCTACTGGTGGTAGGGGCCGGTCGGTCCAGTTCTTTCCCATACAGAAAGTATCAGCTTCCTCCCCATCCTCTTGCCAGTTCTTGCCAGTCCAGTCCAGTCCACCTCAGTGCAAGTGCGAGTGTGCAAGTGCAATCCACCCACCCAACCCTCCCACCTCCTTCCCACTGGCGCAACTTTGGAGCGACACCCCCCGGTCGTCTCCGCCCCACACTCGTGCAGCTGCAGAAGGAGCTGTGGCCCCGTTCATTGGCTCCTGCTCCCGGCCGGGGCTGGAGGTTCAACTGCATCTCTCACCGCTTCTTTCGCGGGCTCGTCGTCGTTCCTCTTCACCCACGCATGCCCGCTTTTGGGGCCCCCGACCAAGTCTCTCGCCCTTCTCACCACCCGAATCTCTTCCTACCCACCTCATCTTCCCCCCAAAACCTTTGTCGCCGCTGCGAAGAAGGTCTTTTGCTCCCCTCATCCACTTCACCACCACCCCGACGAAAGAGCGGTGTCCTGGGGAAAAAGGCCATATCTCTGCTCAAACTCCCCTTTCTCGACTTACACCTATCCGTTGTTGGTCCTTTTTCCACGACTGATCTTACCCAACATGAACGTCAACTTCGATACGAGTGGAGGCGACGCCCTCTTGGACCTCTCCTCCTTCGACCAGCGGGACCGGTTTTCCTATGCCTCGCAAATCCCCTCATCCCAGAACAGCCCCCAGAGCGTCACCAACATGCCCGCTCAGAGGATCTGGCCCATTCCCTTGGATATGACCTCCAATGTCGCAGCCTCGAGTCCTCCCGAGGACCAACAAGCCCACTCGCCTTCACATAGCTCCTCACCTTTGAGCCAGCACTCGCATCATTCACCATATCAACAACCCGTCAACTCATTGACCGACTGGGCCTTGCAACAACATCAACATCAGCAACAACAGGCCCCTCATGGATTGCCCGATTACTCCCAATATGTCTCCGACGCCTACATGCCCGTAACATACAACCCATACGCCCCGGGCTTCCAGACAAATCCCATCGACTTTCTCCCCGCCACGACCCAGGCGCTGCAGGCCGCAAACTTTCAACTCGCATCCGCCTTCAACACGATGCCCCCCATGGACGATACTGTTCCGGCTATGAATTGGAGCTTGGGAATGGAGAGCTGGCACGATATTCAAGCCGCTGCCTCAGCGTTGCAAATCGACGGTCTGTCACATAGCATCGGCAGCAATTCGCCCACGGGTACCTTCCTCGAGGTCCTGTCCCTGCCGAGCACTGGCAATGGAGAGGGGTGGTCAATGGTCGTTGAACAAGGTTCTGGAGCAGGATTCGACCACTTCCAACAGGCACAGCCCAATGCGGCAATCTTCAACCCCAGCCAGACACTTCACTTGAGAACCAACTCGGACTCGTCGGACGGGGCCAATTCATTTGAACTCGGCAGCTATGAGGAGATTGCTCCCTTCCCCATCTCTCCCTTCTCCCCCGAGTCTGATGGATACGTCGATGCCGGATCTCACCGCAATTGCTTCGGAGACAACCACAACCACGCTCATACTCACAGCCACGCTCATGCACACACTCACGCTCACGCCCACGTTCACAACCACGACACAGTCAGCCCTGCAGCAGCTGTTGCTCCCATGCCCATCAAGACGACTACTCCGACCCGGCCAACTCCCGCCAGCGGCTCTGGCGCCACGTCTCCCCCAATTCTCACCACCGCCCGGAGAAACTCGGGCCAGAGGCGCAGCCCCGTCACCGGCAAGGCTACCAAGGCCGTCATTCGCCGCACTTCAACCGGCAAGAAGGATGGCACTGAGGTCAAGAAGGTTGGCCGCAGAAAGGGTCCTCTCCTGCCCGAGCAGCGCAAGCAGGCCAGTGAGATTAGAAAGCTTCGTGCCTGCCTGCGTTGCAAGTTCTTGAAGAAGACCTGTGACAAGGGTGAGCCTTGTGCTGGTTGCCAGCCGTCTCACGCCCGCCTGTGGCAGGTTCCTTGCACTCGTATTGACATCAAGGATATCGGCTACTTCATGAAGGACTGGAAGGCCGACTATGAGCGCCACCTTGGACGTGGTGTCTCGGTCTACAATGTCAAGGGCTTCGCTCAGAACGAGACCGTCATGTGGATCACTCACGGCTACGGCTTTGCCCTCCCCGTCTACGTCCGCGAGGTCTACGTCGCCGATGAGAGCTGCTTCCAGGTCGACTGGGTTGAGTCCTGCTTGACCGATCAGGAGCCCATCGACTTTGACATCCGCACCGAGAGACTCGATGTCGGTGCCAAGGGCGTTTCCGTTGAGGCTCTGTCCGACTATCTTGACAAGCACATTGATGGAGGCTTTGAGGATTTCATCGAAGATCACTTCGAGGGCACTCCCTTCATCACCGAGATCCTCAAGACTGCTCACCGCTACTACGTCAAGGAGCGTATGCCCGTCATCCGTAAGGCTCTGAAGCTCGTTCTTGCCTACAACCTCACCCTGCACATCACCATGGTCGAGAGCCAAGGCGAGGACGTTCAGCTTGATGGCCAGATTGATGATGAGGACTCCAAGTACTACGGCAAGACCGTTGCCCCCGTCATGATCAACTTCCAGATCAAATGTGCCATGGCCGACATGTGGCGTGAGCTTCAGAAGGAGATTCTCGAGGAGCTGTCTGCCCTGTACTCCAGTGTCTACAGCGGTGAGCGTCTCAAGAACTGGCCCACCATCTTCATGCTGGCTTCCATTCTCCTCGCTGTTTGGGAGGAGATGCAGTTCGACTGCCACTACCGTGTTCCCGATCCGGCCGCCGTCAACAAGTTCTGCAATGACATGGAGACCACTCCTGTCGGTGTCATTGTTGGCCTCTTCCATGCCATCTCCCAGAAGCTCCCTGCCTTTATGGACTGGGACACCGCCAAGCACGGCCACCTCCTGAACAACAACGTCGCTGTCTGCGAGGCCATGACCGAAGTCCGTCAGCATGTCATCAAGCACGGTAAGTTCCACTCATTCTGGCCATTGTATCTGCAGACCACTAATAGTCCAAACAGAGGCATACTTGCGTACTCGCCCCGACGCCAGCTTTGACCGCAACGACTTTGACTGCTTGTCGAACAAGTTCTTGTCAAAGCTCGTTATCCGCGCCAACTGATTGTCCTCTACTGTGCTATTATTATTGCTGCCATTTACTTTTCCTTCTTGAGATTATGATTTTTTTCTGAAAAGCCCCTGGGTGGGCAAATTTTGTTGGCATCTCTTTTGTTATTTCGAGTCACAGCGACGGCGTTGAACGAGACACCACACACACACACACCACAAGATCTCTACCCCACCTCTTCACTTCACTTCTTTTCGGCTGGTCACCTCCCCACCACGACGATTCATCGCGATGTGTTACGACCTTTTATCATGATTCAAATTACGAATGTATGACTCGAAGCTTAACGGGGTTGGTGGTCTGGAGTCGAGCGCAGGCGAGAAGGGCTGCGCTGCGGCAAAGAGAGACGCGACATGCGCCAGGGACGTTCATGGAGACGATCATGCCGGCACGACATGCAAATGACAGAGCATAGCAAGCATAGACGATTATGATATGCATTGGAATTTTTGGGCGTTGGAAGGGCCCTTTTGCAAAAAAAAACAAAAAACCTTCACACAGAGAACTGGAGAGGCACAATTGGCCGATATCGGCATTTTACGCTGTTGTAGTTAACTTGGGTCAAAATCGATATATCGAGATTGTTTGTTTCGCGCCCTTCATACAATGAGTTACTATGCACTTTGTCCAGCCCGTGTCCCAGATGTGAAGCTTTTGTCCCAAGTGAGATGCATGTACACCGGTACGGATATCTTGAGAGGTCAATGAGATAAGGCAGGGAAATATGAGGGTCAGATGAGACAGAATGCAAGCCTCGGCGTGCAGCCCACAACGTGGTGAACCACACTAGATTAGAGCAACGTGATCTACTCCGTAGTCAGTCTGGGGAACGAACCTCTGCGGGCTTAAAGCAGGGTCAATGAGGGGAAGAAGGGCCTTATCGCAGCAAATGGGGATGGGGGACAACACCCTTAGGCCTCTGGTTCGATTTCGCCCAAACCAATGAGAAGAGTGGCTGGAGGGGCAAGGATGCTTATGGTGGTGGTGTTTGTGCTGCAGAAGAAAAGTGCATCCAACGTGGTCGGGTTGTAGTTGTACCATTGTCTCCCAGGTATTGACGGGGGCGGTGCCGGGCGCGGGTGTGTAGGTGTGTCTCGCTCGTGTGGGCGAAACGTCGCCTTTTGGCCCCTTGGAAGGAAAGCGCGTGAACAGATGTCGCGATAAGGCCCGAGCGACGAGCGAGCAAAGACCGATGTCGCCATCGCTTCATTCCTCGGCTGACGAAAGCGTCGCTTCGGAAGAGGATACGGAGGTTCGCATTCTTCTGATTATGCTGAAGACAACTTTTTCAATGAGTTGGTTGTCTGTCTGGAGACGCCGAACTGGGGTCCGTATGATTTTTCTCGTCTTTGGCTGAAGTATTGGTAAACTGTCTGTTTGTCTGTCTGCCTCGGGCGGTGGTTCGTAAAATCAGGGTTCGGGAGAGGTTGGGGGTGCAGTGGCCTTTGGGATGACGTCGGCTCATTTCACCTGCCACCCCGGTCTCGCCGGTCCTTCTCCGCACTTTAGTGTTTGGCCGTGTTATGTTGGGTGAGGATTGAGGAGTGGCCGGCGACATTCAACAACTCGCCGGCCAAGTCGAAAGGAAGGCATCGTGGCGACTTGGGATGAGGTTGAGAAAAGCTTTGTATGGGGGCGACGGGATTAGCAAGCGAGCGATTCGGACGGGGCAAAGATTAACCAAGAGGCTCTGGAGGTGGCGATTCTCATGTTCGCTGCCGACTGCATTGCTTGAGGCCTCTAAGTCTGAGTGCGTGTTGAGTGGACGAGGACTCAAGTTGGGTTCCCTGGCCGGTACGGTCTGCCTATCCGGGTGGCGGGTGGGGCGCTTGTTTGTCAGTGACAGTCACAGCCGGTTCGGACTTGTTTCTGACCCTTTGTGCCTCTTTGCTCTTCGCTCTTTACGCTTGACTTTTGGCTGGCATCCGTGGAATCCGTCAAGCGCAGGTGAGACACGACGAATTCCAGTCATAGGTGTCAAACCGAAGCCAGCCTTGCCAGCCTGCTTGATTTCGATATGGGATCGAGTCTATCGGCAGCTAGCATCGTGGGCATTCCTCAGGATGCGCTCGGTGAAGTCTTCAGCCCCAGTGTCTGTCGTCGGCGGTGACGATTGTTCCCGGTCGTGTTGGACGTGGTAAACAGAGGTGAAGTGAGGACGCCCGGGAAGAGGCGGAGTAGGTACAGGGATTGGCGGTGGGCCTCTTGCGACCCATCAGTTCATCAGTGACATTCTCGAGACGCTGCAGGAGACTAGCGGTATCGAGGTCGCGGGGGGTTTGCCTGTCCAAAATTCAGTCGTCTTGCAGCTTCACCAAAACTGAGGCAAAGATGTCGAAATCTTGTGGAAGCTGACACTCAGACGGGTATGCCAGATTAGATCTTACACCTCGCTGTCTTTTTGCGTGTGTTTTGACCTTGGGACTACTGCGCAGGGGCGGCATGAACGAGACCATCTGATCAAAGAAGCGGCGGCGACGAGTGGCCAACCTTCCAGCGCAAGTCGCAACTGAGACATCAGGCACAGCACTCTGGGTTCCAGCCTTCCCAGGTTCGTGGTCAAGAAGCGTGCGATAAGGACCAAGGAAGAGGTTCTTCTACCTCTTTGAGGGTTGAGATTTGTGTGAGTCTGGAGGTAGATGTACGGATTTCCGAGAAAATGGCCCACCTGGTTCTGGAGGGTTCCGGCTTGCTCCTGCCTACTTTAGCGCCTTGTGGCACTTGCGCAGTTGCTGATGAATCATTCGCCATTCCCCCAGACAAGGCACTCAGAACTGAGAAAGAAGGCACTCAGTGCCACTAACTGCATAACCTGCCCCACTTTCTCACACCTGCGCCTCCAATCAGACCCCTCATTCCCTGCCTTCCTTGCCTTCCGCGGCCAGTCAGTCACCAAGCACCCGGGAAGGCACCACCACCCAACTTGGCTCCAGGTCCTTCCTTCCTTCCCGCCTTCAGGCAGGCCGCATCTCTCTGACACCTTGGTTGCCTTTCGGTATTTAAGCCACTTCACCTCTTCATCCTTCTCCCTTCCTCTTTTTCCCCATCACATCCCCTACACAATACTTCCGCTCGACGAATCTCTCATCAGCGATCACTCGGTTACGAGCAACTACATTCAGTAATACCAAAGAGCAACACCACACATCAGAATACAGCGAAGTCGCCATCATGCAGATCTTCGTCAAGACCCGTAAGTCATCCAGGCATCCAAGCGTCATTCCCATTAATAACTGACGTCTTTCCTCCCAGTCACCGGCAAGACCATCACTCTTGAGGTCGAGTCCTCCGATACCATCGATAACGTGAAGTCCAAGATTCAGGACAAGGAGGGCATTCCCCCCGATCAGCAGCGTCTCATTTTCGCTGGCAAGCAGCTTGAGGACGGCCGCACCCTCTCCGACTACAACATCCAGAAGGAGTCTACCCTCCACTTGGTTCTCCGCCTTCGTGGTGGTATGCAGATCTGTAAGTTGCTCTACATCCATGCTGCCCCCAGACATGTGGTTGCTAATCCATTCTGTAGTCGTCAAGACGCTCACTGGCAAGACCATCACCCTTGAGGTCGAGTCTTCTGATACTATCGACAATGTCAAGTCCAAGATTCAGGATAAGGAGGGCATTCCCCCTGACCAGCAGCGTTTGATCTTTGCTGGCAAGCAACTTGAGGATGGTCGTACCCTGTCCGACTACAACATCCAGAAGGAGTCCACTCTCCACTTGGTTCTTCGTCTTCGCGGTGGTATGCAGATTTTCGTCAAGACCCTTACCGGCAAGACGATCACGCTCGAGGTTGAATCTTCAGACACCATCGACAATGTCAAGTCGAAGATCCAAGATAAGGAGGGCATTCCTCCCGACCAGCAGCGCTTGATCTTCGCCGGAAAGCAGCTTGAGGATGGTCGCACCTTGTCGGATTACAACATTCAGAAGGAATCCACCCTGCATCTCGTCCTGCGTTTGCGTGGTGGTATGCAGATCTTTGTCAAGACGCTGACTGGAAAGACGATTACGTTGGAAGTCGAGTCATCTGACACGATTGATAACGTGAAGTCCAAGATCCAGGATAAGGAGGGTATCCCTCCTGACCAGCAGCGTCTTATCTTCGCCGGAAAGCAGCTGGAAGATGGTCGCACTCTGAGCGACTACAACATCCAGAAGGAATCAACCCTTCATCTCGTCCTCCGTCTTCGTGGCGGTCAGTAAGCGACGGGTCAGCGATGGGGAAGTTGCCTTGCACGAGGCATGGCGTTAATGGATTACGATTATGGCGGGACAATGGTTCTGAATGATATCTTCACATATTCCTAGAAGTTAGCTAGGCACTCATACGCTCATGAAAGCGTCAATACTAGACTCTATTGAAGTCTCAAACACTTTGCATTGCTGTACCGTCATATTTCTGTTTCATTTCTTGTTGCGATGCGAATGTCACTGTCGGGAGGTTGACCCATCTATCGCTTATCAGTGACGTACCTGATGGAACGAGGTCCGTAACCGGTGGGGCTGTGGAGTGCACGCTCCTAAAGCTCCTCGAAACTCGCACCTAAATGATTGAAATCTTCCCCACAACATAATTATCCTGCCCGATTCCGTGAGTTGCGCCGCGACATGAACAGCCCATGGAAGTCCTGGAAACACTTGGAAACTCGCGTTCTTTTGCCTCCATAGTTTGGGGGGTCTTTTACACCAGCCACGCAGCATTTGAGTCTCTCAAAGTCAACCAGCATCGTCTCACGGCAGCCTGCGAGGCTGAGAAGGGCTATGCGGACCTTCTTCTACCACCTCAAGTTCGAGCTCTATCCCACTTCAAGCCCCGCACTCGCCGACACCAACGTCGTCAAAGGGAAACGGCAGGAAGAAGTCCTCAGTAAAGACGTGTGGCTTCCGCCGAAAGGCGCCAACATCTTCGCTGAACTTCCCGCGCATTCCAGGAAAAGTTCGAAGAGGCCGAGTACGAGCTTCCGACCGCAGCCTTCACCACTACAACCCTTCGAACCACCCAACCCCGCCGATACCTATCGATCGAGCACACACCGAGCGCCAGAAACTACTTCGAACCCGAACCTCATCGACTGCGGACCTTCCAGAGCTCCGGCCAAGGAAGATAGTGGCAGTAACATCGAGAGGATAACCGAGAGGCAGTGGAGAGCTCGTACGCAGAGCTTCCCTCCCCCGCCTTCTTCGGCAGCGATCAGACCAGAGACGGCAGTCAAGGACTGGCGCTTTGGTCAAGTCAGCATCGAGAGCATCGACATCGAGTCAGAAAGCGACGAGAATACAGATCAAATGGCGGCCGAGGCAACAAGCTCTGGGGCAGACCTTGGTGTTGGTCCAACATTTGGTGGCGCTGGAATCTCCACGAAGGCAAAATATGTCCCCCTCGACACAAAGAGTACGGAAGTAGGCTGGGGAGTAGTACATTTTTACCGCGACGAGGAGGGAACACCTTCCTTGGGACTGCCGTCTTCAGAGGGAGACGACGTCGAGGCAGAGGACTGCACAACGCTTTGCATACCTGCAGTTCCAAGTTACCTGAGCCCGGGCGACTTCATCGGCTATGTCGGGGAGAAATGGAGGAATGACATCAGTCACTGGCGAATGGTCATGACTGCTAGGATGAACCGGTATTTAGTGCTCCTCAAGTTTGGAAACAGCGAGAAGGCAAGGGCGTGGCAGAGGGAGTTTGACGGAAAGGTCTTCAACAGTATGGAGGTGAGTAGTGAACTGCAAGCCCTGACGCCGCCGTGCAACTGACTCTTCTGCAGGCGCAAGTTTGCCATGTTGTCTTCGTTAAATCCATCACCTTTGAGACGCCGACTCGAGAAAACAGGACATTTCCCGACCTTAATCACGACCCCTTCACGCCTTCCTCTTCTTCCGTCGTCGCCTCCAGCAGTCTCAGGCCTTTCCCTCCGCCGACCCCGAATCTTATCGAACTACCTACTTGCCCCGTGTGCCTCGAGCGCATGGACGATACGACAGGTCTAATGACGATTCCTTGCCAGCACGTCTTTCACTGTACCTGCCTGCAAAATTGGAAAGGCTCAGGATGTCCGGTCTGCCGACACACGAATCCCGAAACCACATACGATCCATCAAACCCATATACACAACCATTTGGCTCTTCCGTGTCGAATCTGTGCAGCGTTTGCGATTCCACCGATGACCTATGGATCTGCCTGATCTGCGGAAATGTCGGCTGTGGTCGATATAAGGGCGGCCATGCTAAGGACCACTGGAAAGAGACGGCGCATAGCTTCTCTCTGGAGCTAGAGACACAGCATGTATGGGATTACGCTGGGGATACGTGGGTACATCGTTTGATCCGTGATAAGGGTGACGGTAAGGTCGTGGAGCTCCCAGGCAGCAACGGACATCACCACGGGCCGGAAGGCGGTTACGAAGATACTGTTCCCCGTGCAAAGCTGGACAATATCGGCTTGGAATACACTCATCTCCTGACCAGTCAGCTCGAGTCACAGCGAGTCTACTTTGAGGAGATGATCAGCAAAGTGGCAGACAAGGCCTCAAAAGCAGCAGCGATAGCCGAGTCTGCATCGGCACAAGCTACCACAGCTCTAGAAGAGAATGCCACCCTCAAGACGGAGCTGACACGTCTCCAAACGCAAGTCATTCCACAACTCGAGCGGGACGCAGAGCGCGACCGAGCAAAGGCCACCAAGGCCCAGGAACTCGCCCGCAACATGGGCAAAGCCCTGCAGGAGGAGAAGCAAGTCACACAGGGGCTCATGAAGCGCGTGGAACACAACAAAGCCGAGCTCGAAGCCCTGAAGAAGAGCGAGGCGTCTTACAAGGAGCAGGTGGCAGAGCTGCAGGAGATGAACAGAGACTTGTCCATGTTTATATCGGGACAAGAAAAGTTGCAGCAGATGGAGAAGGCGGGCGAGATTGAGGCTGGTGAAATCGCGGAAGGGAGCGCCAGCGTTCCTGAGAAGAAGGGAAAGCGGAGGGCGAGAAAGTAGAGCCTGCTCAACGGTGTTCATTGAATTCGGCGTTCACAGGAGGGCGGCGGTTTGGCATCTCACGGTGCATGCATTTAACGATACCTACACAGTATTAGAGTGGTCAATTGGTAGCAATGAGTTTTCAGGAGCTTCTTTTCTCTCCTCGCTCGATTTGTGATGTTTTCAATGGTTCCGCATCCTGTATCTATTATATCGGGTTGTTCGTCTCCCCCGGACAATGTCTGATTCTCTCAGGTGTAGCTCTCGTCTCGTCAGGATCGCGTCTTTCATCCTTCCAATTAGCAACGGTGGGCTCTATGTATCATGAGCGGCCTAGACTGAATCACGGAATGTACTGGGCGAACATGCTGGTGTCTATGGTTCCTCAGTATAACAGGTACTCACATATGGAGGGTCTTTTCTGTACAATTGCGAGTTGGAATGAAAGGCTTGAATAGCAGAAATGTGGGTGGAAGTTGCCGGTCACCAGGTTTAAGGCTGCTGGACTGAGTTGTATGGGGCGAGATGAATACTTACTTGATGAGTACTGAAGGGTGCGGTTGGAGACGATCAGTCTTGATCATTGAAGACATCATAGCGATGCCAGGGAGACAAAGTTGAACAAAGAGAAATTTTCTTTATCTATCTACAGGAAGCAGTTTATCCTGCCGAATGGGGTAGAATCATGCGATACCCACAGCAAAACCTCCCACATAAATCGGTGTATGTGGCGCTAACAGAATGATATAAGATGCCATGACTTGGGTCCCCAGGTGCGCCTTTTGCTTCTAAACGCCGGTTTTTTTTTTCTCATGTTTTGATGCTTTCATGTACAAGATGGTACAATATCATTTCCAGTGACCAATATTCAGCTGTCATCTCGTTATGACATCGTAGCATCGTGTTCGCGTAACTGACTCCGACTTTGTCATCCCCGGCCTCGTTCCAGAGCTTCGCCGATTTAGACCAGACAAGACGCAGCCATGTCCCAGGCGGATTGCTCCACATCGGCTTGTGTACTGGACATGTTTTTGTAGAAGCTCAAGAAGAGTGAGGCGAGGAACGACCCTGAGACGACAACGAGGGGGAGCACCGGAAGGATACCGTCGAGGACTAGGCCTGGGCCCTCGAGTAATGTGGCTTGAGTCGCGTAGAAAAATACGATGGAGAGAAAGGAATAGCTAATTTGGATAGAGATGGATGTCAGCTTCATATTGTTTGATCGTGTGTAAACACTTACGCATTGGGCATTTTTGACATATGGCGCCACACCATGAAGAGGACAGCGCCTCCAATCAGTGCGAAGCACCAAAGGCTATCCTCTCTAATTAGTACTTTAGATGCAAGGGCCGAAGCAGAGAGGACATACCTCGTGTATGCAACATCGCCCAAGTTGTGCCCGTCTCTTGCAACCGCAACGTATATAGATGTGATGGCTGTTGCTATCCCGCCGATCATTCGCAGCATCGTCAGGACACGGCCGCCACGGCATAGCATGCTGACTCTCGGCCCGAAATTTATGTCAGGCAGCATTCTGGAAAAGAAGAAGGGGGTTCCGTTAGCAATGAGTTTGTTTCGCAGACCATGTACTACTAGAAGCGTACCCAATGATGATGGTTGATATAACACTTAAGGGTGTCCGCGGCACCGGCGCTGACGCTTGGGGAGCATTTGGGTGCCCAAGCTGCTGATTCTGTGTATCTCGATCGCTCATTTGGATGGATTCGGCTAAGTCGTGGTTAGGTTGAGGGTAGATGTACGTTTGCTGTTGGGTTCGAAGAGCCACGAAGTTGACGATGGTTTGTTTATGCAGGAGACGGCGCTGCGTGTATTCGCCTACACGTCAGATGGCGGGGTGAGGACAGGACGGAGGGGAAAGAGCTCGACATCGAATTCCCTTGAATGACCTACTTTTACCTAACGCTGGTCAAAGGAGGCAGTGTAGATTTAATTGGTTGTGAATGTCCGCTGCCCCGTCTCACATACTCGAAGGATGATTCGTCTCCGTGAACATCTCATTGAGGGGTTAGGCCGCGCCACACTTCCAGGCTCACAACTTCGCCAAAACACTGAACATCAGCTAATTTGCTCGATAAGACAGCTTCAGCAGATCACTTTGAGTTTTCACAAGACATGACTTTAAAGTTCGTTGGTGTGGGTGTCGGACTCACTGGCCTTTTCAACACGTTGGCCGCTGTGTTGAAGCAATTTCGTGAAGGAAGGATTTTAGGTCAACCTGATATTAAGCATAGCGGTCTCGAGCTCAACGGTCTAGAGAAGGGGGATTTGGACCTTGGGTCCCGCACGAGCGATCTGGATCGCGACGACATCAACGAATTCAAGAAACCAGTGATAGTGCTGCTAGCGAAGGGATCAATATTGCTTGGGTCGATAGCCCTAGACCTGGCCGCTACACTCCACCGAAGTCAGACAGCCCGCAGTCAGTCTACTTTAGACGCAGGCTTATCGATCGAAGGTGAACATATGTACGGCGAGAACTCGTTGATGGAGAAGACTTTGGGACAAAGCATCACGGGAAAGGTCAGTACCCAACACAAAGCTATCGAAGCCATGGCTAACATCCATCAACATCTAATACTGGCTCAGGTCATCACCCATACTCTCTCGAGTCCGACAACTGACGTGCTGATTCTTGGGTTGGTCACATATGGAGTCGGGGCGTCAACGATATATCATCATAATCGCGAAGATAGATATCAGGACGCCGTGCTTTGCGGGTCGATTATATTGTGTGTCTGTTTGGGGAGGGTTTCGGGGCTTGATACTGGGATCATTCTCTTGTGTACCCTCCCCTGGACAGTGTTGATTGCTCTATCGCTCAGCCATATGGGACATCGATATTGCATCGTTCGGTCAAAGAGCAAGGAGTCCTTCTCTTCTTGAAGGGGGAATGACTCCCCTTCTTGAAGGTCATAGTACTCCCCTAGCTTGGTGAAGCCGCTTGGTGAAGCCACTTGCAGCCTTCTTCGAGAACGTGTGTTCTGTTGAAGATTGGCTACTTGTTTGGCATCTTGTGAGGGGACCAAAAAGTAGAAATCGGATGGAAATCAAGGGAAACAAGGAGCCCTGGGAAATTTCAGGTGCAAGGATTTTTCGACAGAGGTTTCGCAAAACATTTAGAGTCAGTCTGCATTTTGAAAAGACGCGCCATTTCGACCAATACAACGAACCCTTCGCTCCACACAACGCACGTGCTATTGTTTGGTCCCTACATAATCAAAGATACTTAGCAAGTTAGTGAGCATCAATTCTGGGGTGTTTACCATTAAGCAGGAGAAAGAGATTTTACTCTGAACTACTACAAGTTTTCTCCCTTGGTGAGTGGCGATCATCAGTTGACCCGGATTACCGATTTCTGCGCACAGGAAACAAAATTGGCGAGATGCTCAAACCAGAAACTGTAGTGAAGACTTATAGATAGTTGGTATGTTGAAGAATATTCGAGCATAGTGTACGCGAAAACTTGAGGTCTATGTCTGGCTGCAAATTTCCGGTGCTGGGTTGGAGAAGTGGTTCGGCCGTCTAGGGTACTGATATGAATCAGAAGGTTACCACCTACAAACGTTTGAGCCTTGGCTCTGTTGACTTGTTTTCTATTTTGACTAAAATCGATTCAATATACAGTACTGCTCTTGAACAACCACAATATAAGGCACACTTAGTTATCAAAAGTCGTAAGCCCCGACAAAGTTTTACGGGCCATCGGCTAGTGAGAAATTGCGCAAGTGTCTGCATCATAGTGAACGACGCAAAAGCTTGCGATTCTAGCGTCCCATGGATTCAGCCTCTGAGCTCAGCGGCATATCTCATCAAGGATGAGCGGTGTCTATGTCACTACCTAGGCTGCCATGGGACGAAGAGTTGAAGGCATTATACAAGGGCCGAGAGTGGTCGTTCGCGAGCGCCTACAGTTCCAACCCATACACCGAATATTCATGCTTTGAAGACAAGTGAGCTACTCGAGGCAGTATACTTAGTGGCGATTATTGTGAATGGCCTCCTTTTGTGATTTTGACACTCCTTTCCCTACCCCACTGACTCCAAAGTCTAATATCACGACCAAAACCCATTGTTACATGAAGCAAAGTCAAAGTACAATACAATAATCATATTCTACAACAGCAGATAAGAAATACGAAGTCCGAAAAAACTGCAAAAGATTGGTACACGCCCAATTTCGAGCGAGGCTCGAACTTGCGCGTCCCGCGAGGCAACCAGAGAGGGCCCGATCGGGATATTTGCTTTCCCTCAGCATGCTGAGGTGATACCACTAGACCAAGCGCACTTGATCTAGCGGTACCGCCTCATCTGGTGAAAGCAAAGCGAGTTGGAGCGCCTCATGAGGGTATGGACGGGAGATGGAAAAGACATCCGGGTGTGGAGCATGGAGGTGAGGCAGGTATGTGAACTTGCGCATAGCCTTGGGAAGAAAGGTATGCCAGTTCAATCCAAAACCTTCCTGCCATATAACCCGGTCGTCTATCTACCCAAGGTATATACAGCCCCAAATTGTGTGGATGGACCGGCTACTGAGAGCTCAGAGCCAACCCCCTGATGACCACGTCTTGCTACGGCACCATCAGCATGTCCCATGCCATGGCCGTAAAGAAGGTTCGAGACGAAAAGCCCATTGCGCCATGATAAGTTCTGATCGGTGCCCTTCAAAGGGGAGAAAAAGAATTGAGAGGAGAATTGATGGGTATCACAAACGTATCCTGACCTCCAACCACTCCGCAATGGCATCCTCCCCACGTTCACCAAGCTCAAGCCCCTCGTTCGCACCAACCTCGACGACAGTCACCCGCCTCTCAGCCTCGGCTTCCACGTCAAAGTCCTCGTCCCACTGCAGCCTCGCCTTAAACTCCAGCTTCTCCAAGCTCCGCCTCATCAACCCCGCCAGCTCCGTAGCCTGGGCTTCAAACGTGTGCCCTGCCACCTTCCGTCTCCTCGCCGTCCTAGAAGCGAGTTCTCCAGCCATGGAAGATGCCAAGCTGCTTTTCCTCGTCGTCGTCTTACGCCTCGTCACAGGTTCAGTCGGGGTATCATGGAGTAACAAAGCATGAGGCAGCTTGAGCGTCGACTTTCTCGGCGGGAACACAAGCGCACTCCGCCTCGGCGCTGCCATCATCAACCCTTCGGTAAAGCCAAGGATATCAGCCGGCTTCACGTCCGAGTTGACAGAGGAAAGCCGTTCCAATAACGACGACACGGCCTCTGCCCGTAGGAAGCTCGACGGCGCGTTCATGCCGGGCGTCTGGAAGAGGAGACTAGGGCTCACAAACGGGTCGAACAGGTCTACCGGTGAGCGAAACAGGTTCTCCATCTTCATCTGCAGCATATGCAGCGCCGACCCTTCCTCAGGCCGTGGCGGGAGTTTCTTGCTGCGCGCGGTGGCGGGCCTGTTGATCTTGTGGTCCGGGAGAAACATGGACCAGTTGTAGATGCCGTTCCAGGCGATCAGTCCACGGACGGCCATGCGGGCATGGTGATGGGACTCAGTCAGGGCTAGAGAGGTGGCCATGCTGGCGCCGGCGTAGGAGCTGTATACGTATACGTCGCGGCGGGAGTTGGTGCCGGAGGGTAGGAGGTTTTCTGTGATCCAGGTGTAGCCGGCGAGGACGTCGTGTAAGGGAGTGGGCCATGTGAGAGGCGTGGTGAAGTTGAAGTCGAGTTCTGGGTCGTGTTCGGCTTCCGGTGGGGTGGAGACCGGAGACTCGGACCGGGACGGGGACCATCGGTAGTTGATGACGGCCGTTGGGTACGGCATGAGGAAGTGGGGGATGGGGGTCAGGTATCCCGGGGTTGGTGAGAAGGGCGGGATGTACACCATCAAAGGAGTTGCGGCGGGATGACGGTTCACATTGTGAAGACTGATGTTTGCGTTAAAAGAGAAGTCATGACCTGGTGGGATGGAGTGAGAGATACTCTACTGTGATGCCCCCTGAGGAGCGACAAGGCACATCGACGGACTCGATGTCAGGCCTGTCAAGATGGAAACATCTTCGTTGAAAGACATGAGTTGGGCGCAGACGAGACGACAGCCAAGGTGCCGGCCATCTTCTCATCGTCTATGAATATGAGACAATAGCAGGACGAGCTACTGAAATACTCATGTTCAGTTGGTCGCTCACTCATTCACTCACTCATACACTCATACTGATGTGAGTACCTTGGATGTAAGTGTATGATTTTGAGTGAGTAAGTTATCCGAGTAAACAACCAACTGCAATTCTCCAGACGCGTTTTTTTCTCACTAAGTTGTAAAGGGACCACCCTCGGACCAACCAGCGGCCATTCCGTCTCCTCCGCACCACCATCATCTCCCATTTCTCCAGCCTTCGTGTTTGCACCGCCGCAAACTGTCCCCCACACGTCACCTCTGCTAAGCTTCGAGTTCTTGGTCAAGGGTCCCCTTCGACTCCCACTTTGTTGCAGTAGCGTCGACGTCGTACTACTGTGTCCTGGCACCACCTGAGAATTTGACCCCAAGCGCCGGAGCAACCACCGCTGAA